AAAATTACTTATGATCTAATTTTACCAAAAGGGCGATTGATGCATAGCTAATGATTTTGTCCCTGCAGAACTTCTATTCTTTTCTTAGGTAATTTGATAGACAGGGCAGATGTGGGGATTCAAACAAAAATATCTGAGAGCCTGAAGTCCCAGAATAATCTGCCAAAACTAGCACAAGACTTTGGTCATCAAACTTTTTTTTCCTACATTCCTGGATAAGGAAATAAACTATGTACATTTTTTTCTGCTACATAATTGCTGCTGTTTGTATCCCCCCTGGAGAGATTTTTTAGACATTTTGTGTTTATTTACCTAAAGCTGGAGAGTCAAAATCAACTCCCTTCTGCATATACCAATCAGCTTCCAGGTTTCATTGCCAAAGCTTCATTGAACAAGCTGAGGTTAGAAGCTGATTGGCTTCTATGCAGAAGGGAGTCTGATTTTGGACTCTCCAGCTTTAGTAAATAAACCCTTTGTGTCCTGGTAATACAACAATACAATACAATCTTAAAAACGGGAACATGAATATCCTGAGACGGGGTATAGCCCTGCAAAACTACATTTGTTTTTTTTTTAATTGCTATGTCCCCATTGGATAGATTACTCATCAAATCCTGTTCCTTTGACACAATGTGATGTGAAGATAATTTTCCACACAGGGGCATACACAGCAGTCATAAAATGTGGCTGGAACTTTAAGGCCCAACCTTATCCAAAACCACTTTAAATCTGCATCAGGGAACTGGATAACCCACCAACTTCTTTAAAGTCTACAATAGTCCAGTACCAAGATTTCCTCTCAGTACTTTGATCTACTGTCTATTCCCACAAAATTCTGATAATATTTTATTCATAGCCTTGTGAGAAGACTAATTATTTGTTCATTCTGCATTCCAGAGAATCCATCACAGGTAAGAATATTCATTACTCACCATCAGAGTCAATTTAGCAGTAACCACATTATTTTGAAATGTTGATTTTGAATCAGGATCAAAACTGGCTTTACACTTCCTTACCAATTAGGTCAACTGTCTTGTGCTGAATTCTTCCTACTCAAGTCAGCTGGTTAGTCTTGGTATCACATAGTTGCCAATTGTCATGAATTGGCTGGGACAATCATGGTTTTTAACAGCTGTCCCGGCACACGACCTTGTCCCAGGCTGCATCCCAGAAATCAAGGCTAGTCACGGACAGTCAAGTCCTGTGCATGCCTGCACACAAGAATCACAGACAACATCAGGGCAAACTCTGATGGATGGGGTCACCTTGCCTATTCAGAAGATATGCCAGGGACAGATCCCTCCACCTACCTCCTATCCCAGTAGCTGATCAGGCAGCCGTATTGGGGACTCCTACTGATAACATATGAGTTGGAGCCTGCTGCAAAGCTCACAGTGATCAGTGATTGTGCAGGGCTGAAGGAGGAGGTGGCTAGCTTCAGAGCTGATGCAATCACTAAGGTAAGCTGTGATTTTGTTATTACCAGGTAGAGACAAAGCATGTAACGTGATCCTACATTCATGTCTACTCAGCAAGCTCAGGTGCCTACCTGTATTTACAGATACCATCCAGAAAACCCCGAGAATCATAAAACTAGGACACCAAATTATGTAATCAATCATTTCAGTTTCTGGAGTCATGCTTTCCTATGCCTCCACCTACCCCCTCTGCTTTTACTACCTCATTACTGGTAACTGATACTTCACATAGTGATGAGCTGTTACTGAGGTGCATAGGGGATGCAACTAAATTTGTCTTCAGAAACTAAAGTTGCTATTTGCATGATTGAGGTCCTTGGGTTTTCAGAGCCGTAAAGTACATGAAGGTACCTTTAGATGAATGCTTTTTCATGTCCGCCAGCAGATTTGTAGATTAAAAGTGAACACGTGAGTCTAATGTAAGACGTGGAGAGATGGGGACAGCTATCTTCTGCACAGCTTTTAGAGATACACTGGCACAAACTAGACTTCTAATGTATTCAATGTTTTACTTTACTGTTTGTTTTTTACTGACATAGATATGAGACAGCCTAATACCCCCAACAATTCAAACCTCCTATGCAGTCATGTAGAATCACTTCAGATTTTGTGTTCAATTGAAAGGTGAGCGGAGGTTTGTCCAAAGATCTGAGAGTAGAGCTAACAAAGAGGGAGAAGAGCATAGCTCCACAATGCATCCACTTTATTCTCTTATCTGGCACAATGTACCTATTCTTCAGTACCTTCCTCATAGCATTTACATCTACATGATGTATTCTCTTAGTATTCCCCCCTGCCCGCGCCCCCCCCCCCCCCCTGACTTCTCCATCATGACCAACAACACTATCATCAGTCCCACCCCTCCAGCCAGGGTACTAGGTGTCATCCTAGACTCTAATCTGTCCTTTCAGCCCCCAGGTCCAATCACTAACAAACTCATGTAGACTTCACCTCAGCAACACCTCCAATATACGACCGTTCCTAACCTCTGAAACCACTAAGCAACTCATTCACTCCCTTATTATATCACGCCTCGACTACTGTAACTCCCTCCTCATTGGCCTACCTCACCGTAGGCTATCCCCACTTCAGTCTATCATGAATGCTGCGGCCAGACTCATCCACCTTACTAACCGTTCCGTATCTGCCACCCCTCTCTGCCAATTGCCCAACAGATAAAATTCAAAACGCTAACACTGATGTATAAAGCCTTTCATAACACTGCCCCAAACTACATCTCCGATCTTGTCTCCAAATATCACCCAAACCGTACTCTCCGCTCCTCACAAGACCTCCTACTCTCTAAGTCCCTTATCTCCTCCTCCCATGCTCATCTCCAGGACTTCTCCAGGGCGTCTCCCTTTCTCTGGAACTCCCTACCCCAATCCATCAGACTATCGCCTACTCTGCTCACTTTTAGGCGCGCTCTGAAAACCTATCTCTTCAGGGAAGCCTACCCCGCCCTCAGCTAATACTGGAATCCTCTACTCTTCCAACCACTCCATCCCCCACAGTTACTACCTCTTGTACCACTAGCCCCTCCCTCCTAGATTGTAAGCTCCAAGGAGCAGGACCCTCGAATCCCTCTTGTATTGAATTTGTATTGTTACTGTACTGTCTCGTGTACTGTCTCCTACCATAATGTAAAGCGCTGAGCAAACTTTCACCTACACTTTACACCCTCATCATACATACTGCTTCCCATCCAGCACACTTACTGCTCCCCCTCAATCAACCAATTCACACCCTCAACACACATACTGCACTGCCTCATCACTGCCACTCTTATCCCTAACACAGGTGATCAGTACTATAGCTAGTTTCTGTGCTCTTCACTTATAGCACCCATCTCTCCCATAAGGCAAGCAGACCTACCAGTACTCGGTTGGCCCCAGAACTTATACATAATGCTAATGTCTGGCTATCATGAAAGCACAAACTGAGCCCAGCAAACCTTCAGTTGGCAGAAAGGCAGAGTGGTTCAATGACAGTCCAAGTACAAGGCAGGCAAGGTTCAGAATAGTCAGGGTTAAATCCATAGTCAAAAGGCAGGCAGAGTTTAGAGAGTAGTCAATATCCAAAATGAAACACAGTCCAATAAAGGTGCTCCTTGATTCCCAGTGCAAATGATAAGAATGCACACTAACCAGAAAGCGTATTGGTAATACGCATGTGAATAAATATCCTGAAGATTCCCCTCTCCTTTCTGGTCTGGTCACGGGAATAGCTGGAAAGCATGGAGATCAAACGCCCTCGTGTGGTGAAGGAGTGGTCCAACAGGTCAAAGAAAAAAATCAACCAAGATAAAGTTCCCCCTCTCAGGAGCTGACACAGGAATCACTTGGGGCTG